GAGAGACGACAATCTTCCCGGAAGCATCTGGAAGGAGAAAGGGCGGTGCCTCTGAAGGGCCCTGGTCGAAGCACTGGGTCACGGTCACCATGCCAACCCAATGGGAGTAGGTCACGCATGCGATGGCTGCTGTCCATTTTGGCACTTTGCTGCGCTGTAGAAGTCCTGCCGAGTGTGCCAGCCTTTTATGAGACGCTTACCAGACCGTCTATAAACATTTCTGGTTGGGGACTCAGATTGAATCTGGCTGTGATCGTCGTCCTGACTGGGGGCGCTCTTAAAATCCCTCCTGATCAGCCATATCGACCGGGTGTAAGGCTCGTTCCATACGAGGGTAAATAAGAGTGGACTGGCTGGCTTGCTCGGCAATGACTTGGGCGCGAAAACACACACGAAGTCACCGCTGCTCAATTATGCTTACCGGTATGTTGGATTGAAGGGAAGGGTAGGTTCTAACTGATGCTCAACTAGAAACACAACCATACCCACTATTCATACATCTGCAACATGGTCTTCTTTTATTCTTGATTAGTTGGTGGACAGACTGCTAACACCTCACAAATAGATTAGAGTAGGACTGTTGTATACTACCATAGCCAGTTCTATCTAATGTTGTTGTAAGTGAACCAATCAAGATACATCTAGACTATGTTGACAATCTGTTGTGAATGTTGTAGGCTGCCACTTGATCGGTAAAGTAGGGGACCTGTCGGACACAACTATTTTTAAAAAATTAGGTGCCGGTCAGACACATGTTGTGGTAGGACTCCACTAGGGGGTTCTAGTGCAGATAGTGTTTGCCTAACTCATGAGCGGATCAGACAGTGATGAGGGGAGAGAGGACAATGTGAGACTTACACGTTCGGGAGCACTTAGGGTCCCGCACGTGTTCCAGACCCTACAACCGGGAGACGAAGCACGACTTCGTGACGAATGTAGAGTCCGTGCTCTTGTAGCAGCGAGGCCAGAAGCGAACCTAGCAGCTAGGGAACAGGTGGCTGCAGCAGGCAGAGCAGTAGCAATGTCTAGCGCAGCGGCATCCTCTGCTGCATGGTCCACAGCATCCTCGTCAGGGACCCATTTGGGTAAGCCCACAGGGTCCATGGGTACTTCCAGTTCAGTAGGTTCTCGACAGTCTACAAGTCAAATGGCGGGCTCACAGTTCAACCCGTTGACCCCACGCGAAAGGGAGCTTCTAGAGCTCCAACAGGTCGAAAGGATCCGTGAACGATTAGAGAGGGAACTGAAACAGGCAACCGATAGAGAAAGAGAAATTAAAAATAGAACAGTCAGGCTTGAACGTTAGAGGCTGACAAAGCTGAGTTAGAGGGTTCGGATGAGTCAGGATTGACTGAACCAATGAAAGTGTTGAGGAACAATATGCTGTCACTGCATGCGCATGTGGACAGCCGATTGGACTTTATGCAGAACACTCTAGACCAGATCCTGGACATTTTGCATAGGCCAGGATTTAGGCCACCAGCACAGTCGTCGTTGTCGTTAACGGCGATGTCAGGCCCCTTTCCCGTACAAGCTGGCACACAACCAAGTGGCACGTCTGCAACAGTCTCACAGACTGTCGCTTCTTCTTCTTCGAGTCCAGCGGCGGTTGCTACACCACCACAACAACCTGTTCCCCAACAGGGACAGCCGCAAGGTCAATGGTACCCTAAGACCCCTATGAAACCACCTCCTTCCTTCTCAGGCGAGAAGAAGGATGAGGAACTCAACACTTGGTTGAGAACGGTTCCGGTATGGGTAAAGGCGAAGAGGACTTTGTAGGAGGAGGAGGTGATCACTGCTGCATCTTACCTCGAGGGTAAGACAGCCAAATGGCTAGATGGTTTAGTTGCAAAGGCCGGGTAGGGACGACGCATGGCGGACTAGGCTAGGACAATCACATTAGACCAGTTAATGGAGATGGTAGAAGCTCGATGGCACAATCCACAACAGGCGCAAATGACCACTGATGCGATGCACAAACTTGAACAACGAAAGTTCAAGTCGGTCAGAGAGCTTACGACTACCGTTGAGAGCCTTATCGTCATCCCTGGCATCAACTATGATAACCAATTCCTGTTGACCACATTTGTAAGATGTCTTCCAGAGAACCTCAGGAACTTGGTGGCCAGCGAGGCTCGCCTCGAGTATCACTCTTTTGAGACATTGTCTAGAAAAGCCTTAGACTTAGAGGTCACTCTAGGGAATGCTAAACCTACTCAGAATGACTCAAAGAAGAAGAAGAGTCCGCAGGAATGGAAGAAGAAAGGGGCTAAATTGATGATGGTTGAGTCCAATGGGACTCAAACAGAGATCGATGAGCTCACAGACCTGTTGGACGCTTTAGAGTACGACGGCGAGGAGATCGTTGAGGGTAGCACCCTCGCCGCAGTAGTCAAGGCTAAGGCTGGTGGCCGATTGAAGGGCCATCAAAAGAGTCAAGGGAAGGCCGCCTCCAATCAGACCAAAGTTGCTGATCGGGTAAAGGCAGGTCTTGATCAGGAAGTGTGGCGGGACCGCAAAGTGCGTGGTGCTTGTATTAACTGTGGTGAGTATGGACACACCCAGTACAAGTGCCAGAATATGAAGGTCATGCAGAAGATACCTCCTAAGGTGGGGGCATCTTCTTCCCAGGCTTCTAGCTCGGGAAACACGTGAGGCCGGTGAAAGTTTTAGCTGCTTCTACTCATGGTGAAGTGAGCGAGATACCCTCCCCACTTCATGAGATGGCCATAGCTAATGACTCTTTAGTCACCCCGCATACTTATCCAGACCAAACTATGCTCTGTACGTTGGATGTGTCTGAAGCCTTAGAAGATCTGGAAAGCGAGTGGTCAAACAAGGACCCTCGTGAATTTGGGTGGCACTAAGGAAGGGTCCTAGAGGGGAACATTTCGTGGTGGAAGTTGATGTAGGAGGCCGCAAATGTGGTGCCTTCATAGACATTGGCTCCACGCGGAATTACATAAGTCGCGATGTTTGGAAAGGCTGCACCTATAGGACAGGGTACAACACCTTAGTAGACCTGTAACATTTACTTTGGTCAATAAGGAGCGCATGATAGTCACATACCATATCAAGGACGTAGTCTGTACCTTCTCCTATGGAGGAGGGGAACTTAATCATAAGATATCGTTCCTTGTTAGCGACGACTTACCATTCGACATGTTGTTAGGCATGTACTACCTTGAGGTTGCCAAGCCCCAGTTTGACTGGGACAAGAAGGTGCTAAAACATAAGTTGCCCGATGGCAGAACAATCAGATTGACTAAGTTCAAAGCCAGTAGCATTATAGATACCTATGGCTGCTTGTGTGCATCAGCGTTCTATATCTATTTCAAACAAAACCAAGAGGAGGGTATGTACCTAGTGTATGTCTCTGAGAAAGGGGAGACCGTTAAAACACCCCCAGAGATAGAACACGTCGTTGCTAAGTTCCCTGATCTGTTCGAAGAGCCTACAAGAGTTGTAGAAAGGGAAGTTGTCCACGTTATAGAAATCATTCCGGGGAGTAAAACCCCAAAGGGAAGGATCTATAGGATGACTCCCGCCGAGTTAGATGAACTTCGGCGACAACTGAACGAGCTGACAGAGAAAGGATGAATCCGGCCTAGTACTTCCCCTTACAGATCTCTTGTACTATTTGTACCAAAGAAGGGGGGTACATTGAGGATGTGCATTGACTATAGAGGCCTCAATGCCATCACAGTAAAGAACGCAGAGCCTCTACCTCGCATAGACGACCTACTGGATAGGGTGCAGGGATGCAAGTACTATAGCAAGATAGACTTGAAATCCGGCTATCATCAGATCGCTATAAGACCTGAGGACCAACACAAGACAACTTTCCATACTCGATATGGTCTGTATGAGTTTGTTGTGATGCCCTTTGGTCTTTGCAATGCGCCGGGAACATTCCAGCACGCTATGAATCGGATCTTCCATGACCATTTAGACAAGTTAGTCGTGGTTTACCTTGACGACATTCTGATCTTTAGTAAGTCTGCCGAGGAGCATGCACAACACGTTGAGACTGTGCTTTCACTCCTGCGGCAGCACAAGTATAAGGTCAACCTAGAGAAGTGTGAGTTTGGTCGCACTAAGATATTATACTTGGGTCAGGAAATATCAGCGGAAGGGATTAGGCCGGAAGATGCGAAGGTGGCTAGTATTCGAGACTGACCACGACCTCAGACTGTCACCGAGGTCAGATCTTTCTTAGGAATGTGCGGCTACTATAGGAACTTCGAAAAAAACTATTCTACAGTCGCCTCTCCTTTGACAGATCTAACTCGACTTGACACGCCGTGAGACTGGAGTGATGAGTGCGAGGGTGCTTTCAAGCTATTGAAGCATGCACTCATGAATCATGAAGTTCTCATGGTTTCCGATCCTCAGAAGCCGTTCATAGTGACCACTGACGCAAGCCAATACGGCATTGGCGCAGTGCTGACTCAACAGGATGAGAAGAAGTTGAGACCGATTGAGTACATGAGCAAGAAAATGTCATCGAAGAAACTGGCAAAGTCCACCTACGAAAGGGAACTCTATGCTCTCTACAAGGCACTTGTCCATTGGAGACACTTTCTGTTGGGACGGTTCTTCTACTTGAGAACTGACCATCAGACGCTCAAATGGATTAAGACTCAACCGGCTCTTTCTGATGCACTCAAGTGCTAGATTGAGGTCATAGATCAATATGACTTCAAGCTGGAGTATCTAAAGGGAGAGTACAACAAGGTTGCTGATGCGCTATCTCGTAGAGCAGACTACCTAGGGGCGCTAGTTTCTGAGTTTGGTGTATCTTAGGAAGTAACTCGATCGTTGGTGGGAGCCTATCAGGAAGACCCTGTCATGATGGACATCATGCGCAACCTTCAGGCAAAAGACAAGGCCACAGAAAGTGAGTTTGTGATGGTGGATGGGTTACTCTTTCTCGATAAGGCCGAGTGTAAACGGTTAGTAGTTCCATCTAGTGAACGTTTGCGTAGTTTGGTTTTAGGAGAATGCCATGACGCAACCGAGCACTTTGGTTACAAAAAGACGAGTGCTAATCTAGTACAACGATTTTGGTGGCCTGGAATGCTAGATGACGCAAAGAAGTATGTAGAGACCTGTCAGGTTTGTCAACGGGACAAGCCGCGAACTCAAGCACCGCTTGGGTTGCAGAAGCCCTTACCTATCCCCGCTGGTCCAGGACAGAGTGTTTCCATGGATTTCATGGACACCCTGGTGACCAGTAAGAGTGGCAAGAGACTCATTTTCGTCATCATCGATCGATTCACCAAGTACGCTAGACTAGTTGCCATGCCAGAGACCGCCAGGACGGACCACGTCATCAAGTTGTTTATGGACAACTAGGTGCGTGGTTTTGGACTTCCGAAGTCAATCGTTAGCGACAGAGATGTCCGATTCACAAGTGAGTTGTGGAAGAAGACTGCTGAGCATATGGGTAGTCAACTTCAGATGACTTCAGGGAATCATCCCGAAGCCAACGGGCAAGCCGAACAAATGAACAGAGTTGTACATCACTTGCTGAGGCATTACATCAAGCCCAACCAGGATGATTGGGATTAGAAGTTGCCTCTCATCGCCAACCTGTACAACAATGCTGTACACAGCAGTACCGGCGTCACTCCTAATCAACTGCACTTGGGATGGAAGCCTAGATCCGCTCTAGACTTCCTCTTACCTGAAAACTAATCCTCTGCAACTCCAAGCACACTTGAGTATGGTGTGCAGTATGAGAAGTTGCTGCAGCACATAAAGAAAGCTCAGCAACCAATGATTGCTTATGAGAACAAGCATTGACGACAGTCCTCATTTCAGGTAGGGGAACGTGTCTAGATCAAGGCTAGTGAGCTAGGACAGGAATTCAAGATCTCTCGTAAACTAATGCCACAATATTTTGGTCCTTGGGAAGTCCTGGATCTAGTGGGGGATGAGATGGATGGTCCTACCTATGTTATCCGTATCCCTGGACACCTACGCACTCACCCTGTCTTTCATGCCTCAAAGCTTGCACCTTTCGCTGAGACAGATCAATTCCCTTCAAGGAGATCGATGCTGCCCCCAACCATGGATGGTCAAGTGGACATCGACGACATTGTGGATCACTGAGATCTGCCTGTTCAGAAGCCATTGGGTAAAGGAAGACCTCCAGAACCCAAGCGGGAGTATCGCGTCAGATTCAGGCATCATACAGATCCAAAGGAAGATCGATGGTTCACCAGAGAGGAATTGATTGATACGGCTCCTCAAGTGGTGACAAAGTATGAGAGAATGTTAAAAGGGAAGGCACCTGCGAAGTAAGCATCTCAGCGGACTTTCGAAGCTAAGGGGCATGGAATGTGAGGATTGAGCCCTCAAGAAGGGGCCTTGCCATGATGTACATGTTCTGGGCTAAGGCCCCAACAAGCCTAGTGCCCGCCCTAAGTGAAGGCGGGCCAGCAAATCAACAAGAGCCCTCTGTGCAAACATTYCACGAAGTGGGGTCCATACAGYTGCAGCACGCCAGTTGGTTGGTGTGCACCRAGTATCRGAGCTCTGCACATGCAGAAATCCCAGGGCCCCGAGTTGGTTAGGCCCTGGGCACATAAACGTGAGGCCGACAATGCATGCTGGATATAGAGGCCGAAAATGCCAAAGGGAAGCCGGTCCACTATCTGAATCTGGCCGCAGCCCTTGACGAAAGAGGCGCAACTGCATCTCCTGGGCCCCCAACTGCATCGGGCCTGGGTACAGGCACTGGGGCCCAGGCACAGGCTCAAGGGAGGCTGCCCACACGCAACACTGGCATATAGGCAAGCAGGGCGAGTGGGCAGGGATCTTGGCCATTGCGTGCAAATGCCGGCAGGCTGCGCTAATGCCAGCTGCTGCGCTGCGCTAGGCTGAGGTGCGAGACAGGCAGGCGCTAGGCGGTAGGGCGCTGCCTGTACACAGGGCGCTGGCGGCCATAGCCGGGCTGCCTGACGGCGCATGGTAGGTGAGGGCGAAGGTGGTTCTTCGGAGGTGAAGGGCGCTGTGTGGGATAACAAGGGAGAGTGTGGGTGAATGAGGGAGACGTACCTGGTGGAGGTGGGAGGTCGGCATTGGTGTTGACATCATCACTCGCTGGTCGTCAAGTTGTCTGGTTGCTTTCATACTGTAGTTGTAGTGTTAGGCTGTAGAGTAGGTAGGGCG